TTTTTGTTCGAATTTATTATAAGACTTGATTTTTTTAATAGTTGCTTATCAAGTAGTTCACTGTGAGATTCAATTATTTATAAAATATACAAATTTTATTTTTGTAATAACGCTGTACATTTTTGATTACCTACATTATTATTATTATTTTTTTTTATTATTATTACTATTATTTATAATATCGCATCTAAAAAAAAAAAAAAAAAAAAATGTTTTATAAACATATTTTTTTTATTTTGGACGTTAATTTATAAAATGTAGTACCATTGAGAAAGAATTTGTTCATTAGTGACATTTTAATCTATGATATTTTATTTAATGTTTTTTTTTCTTTTTTTTTTTTTAATTTATTAATATTTTTGTTTTTACACGGTATTTAATGTTAAGATAGGAATTAAACTGTGCTACTGTAACTTTATGTTTGGAATCCTGTAAGTAGCTTTTAAAATAATGTTCTATTGATTTAATGTTACGGATAATTGTAAAAACCTTATGATTGGTTATAAGCTACATTTACTTTAAAGAAATAAAGCAAGGGTATTAATATTTTATAGTTGATGTCTATTAGGCTTTCATTTGATGGTATTTAAATGAATATTAACAATCTTCTGTTGTAAACATTACAATACTATGTCTATTTTATTATTGCAATAACATACATCTAAAAACGACATAAGAATAGAAATAGTTACTTACATCAAGTTAGAATTTATTTCATAGATAAACTTATCATACAGGATGATAAAAATAAACTTTATGTTATGTATTAAATATAACATCAAACATTTTTTACGCAAATGACCAGAACAGTAGAAGCAATACTTTTAAAACAATAAAAAATATACATAATCTTGTATGTTTTTGGAGAAATTGTAATGATAAAACCAGATCGCTTATAATTTTGTTTTCAAAATCAAAATATTACCCAAAAAACACAATATTTTTGTATAATACATAATATTATATTTACTACCCCTCTCAAACGACGCTTAGTATTTACATCACGCAATAGATACAAGAACTTCGATGAAAAATCTTTAAAATTTAACATTTCGTTGAGATTATGTATTTAGAGTATATAGTGTATCATAAATAATATTAAAATGGTCGTAGTAGTAGCCTAAAGGATGACTTATCGTTAAAAATAGTGCTAATAGTATTAATACGTTTATTATTGTCATTGACAAATATTTTCCCCTCAAATTCTCCACTTTTACATGGATAGTATACTAAGTTTTCTTGATTTTCACTTTTAGATTTCATGTGTAGTTAATACTTAATATTCAGCTTAAATACGTTCATGAATATGGTTGAAAATTGACAATCACTCATAATTTAAGGAGCGAACTTTGTTCGAAGTTTTCATTGTTATCTGAGACAACATGAGTTGGTGGTGCTCAAAGTGTTTTATTCAATTTAAACAAAATAGGTGAGTTATGTTATACAGTATCATATTTCAATCTCGCATTCTGACAATAATACGTTAAAACCGTTGATTCGCTGTTATCTATAAATGTGTGTGAAGTTCAAAATTAAAAAAATAAATATTCTAAATGGTAATAATTTTCTTTAAACATTACGTATAATAATAGCTAATTAATAAAAAATATATATAATGTAAATAGTTATAATATTATATGATAAGTTTAAATACAATATAGAGTACCTACTAAAAAGACTGTTTGTATAAGTGCAATTGTATTATAGAATAAAGTACCTAACATAACATAATCATTAACTTTTTTTTAAATTATGTTCTCATAATAATGATCGCCGTCTCTTAAGCACTATTTTAATGAAACCATTTAATGCTAGAATGAATCTTAAGCAGCCACATATTTTTTTTTTGTTAAATGATTATTCCGCAAAAGTACGTTGTATATGATAAACGGCGTATAGTTTTTAAATTAATATTTAATAAACATTTATATCAGAAACCATTATAAAAAAAACCTGTACTTTAAATCGACCGTTTCTCTATCTTGCACTATGTATAGAATAAAAACTTACTTATACTTGTAAATTAATATTAATTTAAATATAATCAATGGCAATGCTATCTATGGCCGGTTAACTACGCCACTTAACGAATATATTATTTGGGACAAAATTATAATATTGAAGAAAAAAAATTTAAATATTTAATGAGATTTTTTGTATCGTGTATTCTTAAGAAAGCTTTTATTATAAAAGCCAAGTAGTTTATGGTGTAACTATATATGCGTTATAAAGCATTATGTGCTTAAACTATTTAAAAAATTGTACTAACAATGAGAAATAACAAGGAGGTAATCATGAAATGTCAACTGGTGTCTCATAAGCTATTTACCCTGTTAAATTATGTTTAAAATACGAGACAAAGTTAGCATAACTAGAGGTCGAGTACAAAGGCTATTTCAATTATTACACCAAAGTTCACATAAAGATTTTTACGACCAAAACAGAAGAAAAAAAAAACGTAAAAAAAAAATAAGAAACAAAACATGAAACAAGTTTATAACGTAAAGCACACTATAACGTGGCAATAACTTTTTACAGAAATTTAATTGCGAGAAGAATAACTTGATAACAAAATAAGAAAACATTTTGAATTGGCCCCATTAAGGGAATTGTAGGTCTCTTAAAATATTATTTTCTCGAAAAAAAAGAGTATAATGAAAAAACAAACAAATAAAAAAAAAACATAATTTTCTTAACATTTTTTGTCATTTAATATTTTTAATATTTTTCGTTTCATGCAAATTTAAAACCTAAATAGAGCATATTCAGTCATTATTATTTATTATTTTTTTTATTAGTTATAAGTTTCAATGGATTTTCTGGTTTATGCGGAAGCAAACACGCCTAATGATCATACAATATACAATAATTATAATTTATCCAAAGTAGTAACATTTATGGACTTCATCGTGTCTTAAATTAGTTTTTGTGTAAAGAATATTTTTATTTTACTATAATATTTGTTCCGTCAAAATTTCATAAAATAAAATATACATAAATAATTATATTGTCTTATAAAAATATAATATAATACGTACAGTTTACGTTCCTTGAAAGTATTCGAATATTTAAATATTCTTATTACTAAACAAAATGAACACATTCACGTGTTAATCAAGTTTAAAACTTTTAAACGGGACATCTGTTCCTGGGTAGTCCGATCAATATTCATTTAGTTATAGGCACATCTATACAATTGATATCGGTTGTTACCTACTACATGCGTTGTAATTCTTGATTTTAAATCACTGATTATTTTTGTCAATATTACACCAATGTTTTTAAAATACCAAAACTATATAAGTATGATTAAATAAATCAAAAATAAAAGCTTTTTAAAAGAAAGATTAGAATCGTTTTTAAGTTAAACAATATTATTCAGGAAGTAATATTTTGTTTACAATATTCATTGAGTTTTTAAATCATGTACACACAACGTATATTGTGCATTCGTATATCATATTAAAATGTAACACATTCAAACCAATATCAAAGTATACTCGTATTATGGATACAATAAAATCTCTTCTTACTAATAACAGTTTAAGATGTTATTAATTAAGTGTTTCGATTTATTTATTTTGATTGAATATCAAACAATGATAGCACGATTTAAAATCAGTTCGGAGATAGTTTATCAATAAAAAAAATGTCTTGTTTTATTTACTATATGGTAGAGAGCGCTCAGTCAACAAAAAGTAACTAAATTGCTTCTTTGTAAAATTATAAAAGTAAATATAAATAATAATAAAAAAAAATATATTTATGTATAATGTAATTATACACATAATAAATATTTTGAAATTAACTGTAATCGTATAAAATATTTTAGCCTTTTTACACTTCTCTACCTTACAGGCTTTTAATAACATAATTATTTGTACTCATTACAAAAAATTAATTTAATTTTGACATAAGCAAATCAGACAAACTTATTCGTCTTTAATTATGTAAATATCGATACCAACGCGAGTGTATTGAAATACGTAGAGACGGTATGATATACACACTACCACGCTCGCGGTATAACGACTATAGCAGTACCTATTACCTGCTAATTTAGTTGCTCGAAATGTTGGGCACGCAAATACCAAACAATGTTAATTCCGGAGTAATGACGACGGAAAATCGATATCACGCGTTCGGTTTTTCGGCATACTTCCGCATAATATTGCAATAATGTTAAAATATCACAATGCTACGTTACACTCTACGCATTCCACGAACCTATTACAAAAGCTTGGTTATAGATATTATAATTTGATGTCAACATGTCATAATATTAGAATTTCGTCGGATATAATAATATTACGCAGAAGGAAATGTGATAGCGTTGGTGGCCGGCGACAGATCGGTTTGATTTTTCAAGTGTTTGCGGCACGGTACGCAGTAATGTCACACGGAAAACCGCAGAGGTGCTGTGGGCCATGGACCTGAGGTACGATCGCAGTTTAATAACAATTCACCCGAATACCTGAGTTCGGGTTATAATCACGACCGGTCGGGCCGCTTCGTAGGAAATTATTCAAGTATTTAACGAACAGTCGCGGTCAAAGGCCTGTATAGTTTCACACTATATAATATCATTATGATAATAGTATATACGCAGTGTAAGCGAGAATGAGCTGTAGGAGATATAAAGTTTTCGGCATAATTATACAGGAACAAGTACGGGCGTATTATCATAATTTCAATTTGGTATAGTGTTATGAGTATAGATGAAAGTTAAGAGCAGTGTTTTACATTGATTGGGTTGGCAAAAAATAATAAACCGCGATGAAGGGACTTGGCAGTTTACCGACAATAAATGATTTAAGCCGCTTTCAAACGAAATTTATAAAAAAAAAAAAGAAAAAAATGGGAAGTACCATTCTGCGATGAGACATCTTAACACTTTCTCTCCTCAAAACGCAAGCGACAATCGGCATAATTATATCGTCGTAAATCTATATTGTGATTGGATGCATATAGAGTGTATTTTATGCGAGGACATGGCTTACCTGATTCGAACGATATCTCGCTGATCATCATCCATTTGTTGGCAAAAAACAGCTGCAGCTTGAGAAATCTGCCGGTCCGGTGGTGAAGTTTGACCGTGACGTTTCTGGCCTCGGGCATGATGGTGTCTGCCGGATACGTGTACGACACGGGTTCCGGAAAAAAGTGTTCGCCTCCCACGCTAAAATAGGCTTTGGCATGTGAAAAAACCTGAAAAAAAACAATACGAACGCAATATGTTGTATTATAATATACGATATATTTATACGCATATATTACTGGTACCTAATTGGCTTACGTATGTGAATATCTATACAATACATATAAAAAAGTATTTTCAAATTTTATTGTTCTATACTACCAACGAAAATATACACTGTATTATGACTGTATTTGTGCACCAGTGGTTCGAATTAATGTATTAGCTTATAATTATTGTATTCGTGTGTTTATATTATACTCGTCGAAAAACTTGAAATATTGACATTTAGTGTTTGTGTTCAAAAACCAAACAAAAAATAACGCCATCACATTCCAATAGAAAATACTAGTATATATATATATGTGTGTGTGTGTGTGTGTTATAATTGTCTATGGGTTACTTTATGAACGTTGTATATAAAACGTGTAAATATAATATGTAACATATGGTTTGTGTGTGTAAAAATAACCTTCGTTTTCCCAAACTTTTCGAGAAATACCTTTGAAACAAATAAACTTTTCATACACAGATTCAAATAATGTGCTGTATACATTGTACGTATTATTGAAACTTTGCATACATATTAGGTCGTTGACTCACACACGCTCACATACATTTAAAACAGCGCACGTATGATACGGCTGTCTCATTTCTTATTCGATTCGTTGTTGTCAATTTCAATAGTACTAATATGCTTTACGCGAAATAGAATAGAATCCATTTACAAACGGTGTAAGAGTAAGAATCCCCCTCCCCCATCCACCGACAAGTTTGACATTAAATGCAACGGCCGTCTGTCTGTCCCTTTGTGCGCATCACTGCCCGAGGCAATCGACTATCTTTTCAGAATCCTAACTTCAATCACCTTCGAGATGCGGTTAAAGACTGCAGACGTTATAGCTATATAATACACTGTATATTAGCAGGTTGACTACAAGTACTTCACTTCCGCCTTTACCAAACCACCGAATAAGTACTAGATGATTGGCAGAGCCGTATTGATAAATATGATACCTGGTAGTAGATTTTCAACACCTCTCTTTACGACTCATCACAAGCAAAATAAACACTAATAACTACATTATTTAATAATATTATATGGAAATTAGATATGTTATTGGTTTTTCAGTTGGGCTGTGGGTACGGTACAACATTATATTATTGACAATGTCAGTCAATGAGTACTTGTGACATCGAGGTAAATCGCTTCCACGTAGTGTACCCCAAGCAACGTCTTAGACGACTAAATATTTACCAACAACGGCGACCGATCTGTCTATATAATGGAGCTCCCAGTCTACAAAATTAACATCAACAACATCACTCATCACCAAAACAGCTCTTATCAAGGTCAACTGACTCGAAACGTAGGATCTCAAATCTACGTCTTATAATTAAATATTGAAGAAATCAGTCATAACAAAAGTGAATACTTCACCAGAATAGCCCACGACAACGATATCTCAGTTATATAGGAACAGTCCAGGGACCAAGGATACAACTTGGCATTTACATCCTACCACAAAAAGTATAGAACTGCAGTTAATATACATCAAGATTCACAAACCTGGGATGAAATTACTATACGTGAATATATAATGAGTACTTAATTAATTTGTAAGATACGTCCAAATTTTGGTATAATCGTATTAATTTTTTTTAAATATTTATACACTGGCAAATTAAAATATAGTTGTAAATATTTTAGCACGCTCATATTTAACAAAATTTAATTTTTTAGGTTAGAAAAAATATAAATCACAAGAGCTAAACCGATATTTTAACTAAGAACGATGTGTAAACGCTTAGCTTAGTCAAAATTTTTTTCTAGGGAATAATACAATGCTTTTAAATATCTAGTTTTCAAATTTGTACAATAAAAATAAGCCCAATAAATTTAGCGAAGTCATTTAATAAAGATAAATTCCAAAAACTTGATCTCCAATTTCAGTATCTAACCTTTCTTAAAATCATAATATATTTCACGGCCCTGCAGAGCACAATAATTCGTTATTTTCATTATTAAACGGATATTATATGCCCATTAAAAACGATTTTAATATCCAATTCAAGGTCGAATTGGTATTGTATCATCAATTCAATTTCGAATTAAACATTAAATGTTTTACTAATATATTATATACCTTCATATTGATTTTTAATTAATGTTGGATTATAATAAATCATGGGTTCAATTACGTTGTACAAAATACATGCTATTTCCTTTAACCAATATTGCATAAACATTAACATTGAATTTCATCGGAATTAAAATATTACATTTCTATAATAACTACTAAATTACAATATTTAAAGTGTAACAATAATCCAATTATGTTAAAACAACATTGTATTCATATTGTTTTTACTGATATAAAATTAAACATTACGCTATGTCTGCTCAGTGATCAATAGTATTAAAATGTTGAAAATATAATAATTTTGTTTTCAAAAGGTTTATTATACATTTAAATTCACGATTCTACTAATTGGAAATTAAACGTTACTATGATAAAAAAAAAAAATTCAATATTTATTAAAAGATTAGTCTAATAACTATTGGACTTATTTTAATTTAATTTTTAACATGTTAATTTTTGAATTTTAATAACAACAGGTTTTAAATAAAAATTGGTAGGTGATTCACATTTATTCTGAAACGTATTACCTATAAGTAATCTTATTGACCTAAACTCGTGTAATGCAATGTATCATCATCGGCAGTCATGTAAAAATAACATACAATAATAATGATCAATTTGTAAATATAATTGGCCCTTTAAAACTGAAAGTGATGTTAACAATATTGTACTGTTGATACAAATATCTAACTAATTAAGCGATAACAACGTCTTCTACTATACGATATGATATGTATAGGTAGAAGACAGAATTTCGAAAACTTTACGAATAGTGTAAGCGTAAATAACTGGAAATTTGCTCTGCAAATGAATTTCATATTTTTCTATATCTCCATAGATAAATGAATTTTTAAATATCTATACAACACTTATTAGCGTTTTTAAAAATGGTTAGCAACTTTCATTGTTTTATTTTTGGTTTTTATAATTGGATCAAAAAAAAATTTACATAGTTAAATTAAAACGGAAATATATATATATCAATTGAAAGCATTTAAAATTTATCTAAATTTAATAAAGTTGAATAATACTTATTAGAAACATAATAATTGTATCATATAGTTAATTGTTTATAAATAGCTTCTTCTTTTTTTTTTCTTTTTTTTTTGATATAAATAACTATATAACTTTGAACAAAACGTATTTTTTAGTGACTAAAATCAATAATATAATTTTTTTTTTTCATTTTATCTATCTGTAGCCACAATACCAATAAATAAATAAAAAAAAATATGTCAAAGAAAATTGTTGATGTATTATATGATATTATTTCAAGAAGGTAATTTTGATGTATTGAAAATAAATTATAAAACTTTTACAAACTTATACACTTTAAAAACTAATAAAAACCATATTAATTGTCGAAAGTCATGAAAGCGATATTGGCACTATTGATCACGAATTTCAAATTAATAAATGTCGTAAATAACGTTAAATTTTAAATAAAATAAAATAATTTGTCGAAATAAAACGTTCTGTTCAATAATTTAAACTAACAAATAGTCAATCTTATTAAAAAAAAAAAAAATTATTTCTTTTTCTTAATTTTCATAATACTATATAATATATAGTAAACGTAACTGTCTATAATTTTAATTGATAAAATATCAATCGCGTATTTACTATGCATGTACGTACACTGTACAGACTAATATAAAAAATTAAAAAACACAATTTAGGTACTTATTATTATGTATATATATATATTGTATATATAATAAAAGCCTATAGGAATACAATAAAGTGGCCTTCTGTCATTCATTATTATTATTGATGTATTACAATTAGAAGAGCTTAAAATACTAGTTGAACGTGATAAAATGAGTTTAATATTGAAACACATCATATCACACATAATAAAATAATGTTGTATTATACTCATGAAAAAAAAAAAAATTAAATTGATTTCTACTTTACATTTTGCTCGTCGAAATTAATAGATTTAAGTGAAAATAAACTTACTTGTACACCTTGACGAAAGTCATTATTGGAATGCATGTACAGAGCGGTGAAGTTCCGGACGACGTCAAACTCGAAAGTCATTTCTACTGATGACCCATAGCCCATAGTATCGTTTTTCCATCCTACCCATTCGTTGTACTCTGTGGAAAACGACTTTGTTAAGTGGCGGAGAAAAAATAATTCTAAAAATAGCATTGGAAATCGATCACCGGTAACGAATAAACAGTGTACAAAATGCGTACGTAATGTACATCGTAAATTTATAACCAAATATTGTTATTATCGCTGACTTACTTTTCACGAACGGTTCATCAATTCCGTATCGACCGTCGCAGAGCTGTCCTATACCGCCGACCAATATACCGCCTTCCTCGCGACCGTCGTAACCCGTGTCTTTTACATCACCCTGTATTACCGAATAGCTGATTACACCTTCTGTAAAATATAAACAAAAATATTCATTATGTTAATTTATCCAATAAATTTTTTTATAACGATATATTGTATGTGTGTTTTTTTTTGTTTTTTTTATTGTTATTGTTGTTTATATTATACGCAGTTTGCTTATCTTATCTTATAAAACACATATCATTTCTATTATGTTTTTGATGAAACCTAACGAGAAGTTGATATCCCAAGCAATTTTTTTTTCATCTCATCGCATACTACTCCGTGTATAACTAGGTCAACATAGAATTAAATAACAAATTACTTAGAGAGAGTACCTAATATTTTGCTGGAAATAAAATTGTATATTCTGCTGTTTCGTTAACCGTAGAGAAGTTTATTCACGACATCCTTAAGGTGTTCGTTATAAATATTTAGAGTTACTAAATAGTACAAATTCCTAAAATACGAAAATCTGTCATGGATGTGAAATTTAAATCTGAATACTTATTAAAACATTTTGCGCACTATGAACAGCCCGAGTTGAATGCAATATAGTGAATCTCATTATTCAACTACATAAAATTGTTTTTCAGTCATGGTTTCAAAATTTAAAATCTCTACAGTTTATAATTAAATTAATTAACCTTGATTTTATTTTCGTTAAATTTAACAAAAAAAAGTTTTCGGTTCTAACTATAATAACTAGGTACATTGGTAGTCCACGTTAGTAGTATAATATGATATACCTAAGCATCAACAAAATATTATATTGAACAAAATTCAATTAATCCAATAAAAAAAGGTGTTTAAATAAAGTTTAAAGATAAAAAGATTTTATAAGTTATGTAAACACCGAGTATCAGTGCAGATTTATCAGTCAAAAGTTTTTAACTATTTCAAATATCTTATAAATAATTGAACGAGCTTGTAAGTAAATCGTTCAAGTTATTTTCTTTTGAAGACAAAAGAATAAGTATTGAATAAAATAGTTTTGATTTTTTTTTTTTATCTAAATACTTACTTAGTCATGCAACAGTAATAAGCCTATGTTAAATAATAGTTATATACGCTTCAAAGCCTACAAATTGGATAATTCTTACATTTTACACGATAATTGGCAGATATTGCAATTTACGAGTATTGTAGTAATAATAAGAACGTTGTTCTCAGAGACGTTTTCAGGATATTTCAATGGAGGGGAATGAAAAAAATAGTTACATAATAAGCCATAAGATTAGGTTAGGTTAGCTAAATTAAGATTAAGAAAATAAAGAACCTTGGGAGGGGATCTATCCCCCATATCCTCCCCCGTGAGAACGCCCATGGTTGTTCTTGTTTTTATTTTTTGATCATAGATAAAATTGTTGACTTTTTTAAAGTTCCTCAATTATTACTTTTTCTTCATCAAATTTGTATAATATAATATATGTTAATAGTTGGAATAAAATATAATAAATAGATTAACATATTAAATTTATTTATAGGTACTATCAAAACTCAATGACATATTGCGTTAACACATATGTACCCATATGCCTAATACATAATATTTTTAATTTTTGTTGCATAAGATATCTAAAAATATGCAATTTTAATTTTAAATTGTATTTTAATACAGTATTTAGTTTTTGTTATGGATTTTTTAAGTCTTACAATTTTTTTTTATTATTTTTGAAAAAGAAATATCATAAAATACACATAACTCACCATAGATACTTATATATAATATATAAATTGCCTAGTAAAATCAGTTACTATACGCTAAATACTTACATAATTGTTCAGTATTTTGATTTAAAATTTGAATTAATTACATAATTAAAAAAATTCATGAATAATTATTCCAAAAAAATTAAAGATTCAAATATCAGAGTTTATCAAATCAACAAAGAAATCACTAATTAAGAGTCTACCAACAGCAATTACAAATGTTTGAGACCAACACACACGTCATTTATGGTTAATAGAATATTGCATAAGATCTTACTATAAAAGTATTAATAAATAACGCATTTTAAATTTCAAACAATTTTCTTTATAAAAATATATTTTTTTAATCGTCAAAGTTTAATTTTACCATGATATATTTATTATTTATATAGTATTTTATTTTGTTGTTTTTCTATATTATAATAAAATATATATTTTTAAAATTATAATTAAACACATAGTTCAATAACTTTAAAAAACCTCGAAAATTCACATCAATAAAAAACATATCCAATGAAAATCTTACACTCTTTACTAAACCACAGTTTAAATCAACAGTTTAAATGTTCTTTACTAATATACAACACCATAACTAAACTATTATTAATTTACACATGCTCAGTATAGACTGCTGTCTTCCGAGTGGACATAAAAAAATTGCGAATTCCCCAAAACAAATTCTTAAGAATAGTAAACTCAAAACTCTTGGTAAAAATCCCAACAATATGAAGAATTAACTAAAATATTATAAAGTCAGTAATAACCTGATAAATGAAACTAAATAACATCCTCCTATTACAAGCAGTTAAAAATTATAATCCAGATTAAAACAGGTACTCTCACAATGCGGCATTTTCCTAGAAAACTAAACTGACAATTAATAACAAATATATATTTTTATACTTGTTTGAATTTATTATACATTTACAACAATACAAACTTTTCACGTTGCCACGGTTAATTAGTTAAATCGATTTATTAAAATACTGAACAATAAATTATAGTGGGTGTTTTTACTGGTTGAACGCAAACTTATGTAATCGTATTATGATATCGATGAAAGTACACGCATTTTTAATGGCGAGCTTAAAATCACGTATTTTCTATAAGCTATATATAATATGTAAATAGGTAAGCAGTTTATAAAACTATATGAACACGGGTAAACATGTAATAAAATAATTGTGGTCTTGTAACAGTTTAAAAAAGTTAAATGCAAATGTGAACTTTTTCAAAACGCTGAAAAATAATATGAATTAATTCAAAATTTTCGAAGTTTCACGTGTGCATAACTGCATATAAATATTCGCACAGCCTTGGTATAATATTATCATTCAGAACATACACTAAACACACGCGCATAAAATATACGTCCACGAATAATATCATGTAATGCTTTGTGCTGGTTTATTTATTTATTTTTTTAATTTTCACAAAGTTATGAGTTACGCTATTTGTATGAATGTAAATGATTATTTTGATACATGACAATTCGTATTAAAATATCTACAGGTATTTAAAATTATTATTATGCATGATGGTATGGGTATTGTTACATACAGATACATGCTGCAGGTCGATGATAGCTGACGGCTGAATCGACTCTAGGTAACTTATTTTAACCATGTTAACAATAAGTATCAACGACCCTTTTGGAAAACGAAGTGATCCTTAAAAGCTTTATAGTGTAATAGTATAATATTTTGTTATTCAGTATACCCTTACCGTAATGATAACAACCGATAATCTCAGCTCGAAGGCAAACCATACGTGGCTGTCCGCTGTAAGGCACTAAACGAATTTTCGATGCTATGATTGCTGGCACCAAAGACCTGTCTACTATTGTATTCGTGTCCCTGTTTGCTTGCAACACCTGTAAACAAAAACAGAAAATGTAAAAATATATGCAAGTGTTTTGTAAGTTTTGTTATTTGTTATACAAAATAAAACAAACGATACAAGTTATTTTAATTTTAGATTCAGTATGCGCAGCGTCTTACGACAACCTGTTGACAAATCATTTTTTTAAACGAGAGCTACTAAAACAGTAGATATTTTAAAAAACAACATAAGTAAATAAAATAATTAAGTGTATTATAATATTTAAATTTCAAATATAGCTTCTATCCGCATATTTTCACGTACAACAAGTCCTTTTAAACCCCAATTGATATTTAAAATATACAATTATATTATATTATCTTGTATTATGGTCAATATATTCCTTCCTTCCACTTTATATACAAATAAAATTATCATTTTATAAATAAATCATAATATTACACTGTTTAGATATATTTAGTAGGCACAGAGGAATTACCCTAATAAATACAACGTACAAGATATTTTAAAGGATATTATTAAAAAGATTGACACTCATAATAGAAGAGTATAATAGAGAACGCCAGTATGGATTTCAAATAGGTATAGCAGACACACTATAAGAAAATATGAAATATTGACTATGATGTAATCATAAAATATTAACTTAGAGGGGAAAATATTAAGAAGTAGACCAATAGATCAAAGAGACAATAGTTTGACGATGTAAGTCGAGACATAAGGAAACTGAATATAGGAGATTTGATGAACATTTATTATTCGTGTAAGAGAAATGTGGAAAAGTGTCACACTTTGATGGTGACAAAGACTTTAGTAAAATCATAAACCTAAAAGAATAAGATAGGTACGTCAAGAATTGGGAGTGTAATAATTTACGTGTATAAATTAATAATAATATTATTACAATAATTTAGAAATTGTGTAATTATAAACATTTTTTAGCTGGCTGCTTACATTTGGTGCGTATTACATAATATTGTCTGAAATTAATCGAAATTTTCACGTGTGAGATGAAATATTGAGTGCTAATTGTAGAACACGGCTATTGTTATTGAAATATACGCAACTTCCCTCTCTAGAGCCATTGAAATTATGAGAAGGTCCCTGTAGAATAATAATTAATTCCCCAATACGTCTCGACAATATTCAATTTTCAAGTATAAAACATAATTTCACGGTCTCATACTTTTCATCATTTCCAATACGGTTTGTGGCGGCCACATTCAAATTATCACTCAACGGCAGAAACAAAGTTTTCTCATTAAACGTTATGTTCCTATATAGTGTATATATTGTATAACACCACTAAAGAATATAGTATACCTACCTAATAACACATATAATATTCATATATTATATAAAATATGTACATTTTATATACATTATACATTACACATACCGCATATATGGATGCATATCCATACATATACATATATATATATATATATATACATGTATACATTACTTAAACATAATCAGTATTATATAAGTGCGTCTACATACTCACTTTGTATGCATGTATAATGTGTGTATATATATATATATATATATATATATATATATAAGCAAAATTGTTTTCCAATTATATGGCTAGACTATAGTATGTTATCTGATATTATTAAAAATCGAACGGAAAATTCACTGCAAATATCAAAATTAAATAATATTTTAAATCTCTAATCGACATACGTTATATCAAAAATTTTAGTCATAAAATAGAATATATGTACGACATATACTCACATATTACGAGTATAAAAGAGATATTGATTTTCAAATCCACCATAACTATTTAACTATATAACATTAATAATTATAATTTATAACTACCCATTTTAAATTCAATTTTTATAGACAAAATTTTAAATAAAATATTTTGTTTCGTAATATAATTATATATCATTATTTACGTATAAAAAAATATAAAAAATAAAAACTCTAACATCGAATATTAACTAAAAAAATAGACAATTAAGTACCGGTATGTGGCATGTGTATCAATGAATAGGTCACTGTATGGGTTAAATATGCATTTGTTGATAAAATAATTGTAGATGAAAAATTAATTTGAGCAAAAATATTTAGTTTTAGTTACCACATGTTAGGATATTATTTTTTCTGATGTCGTAACAGGTTTGTGCAAAAACATTATGGTCTATATAAGTAATAAATACGTAATATTATGTAAGTTTTTATATATGTATAGTAAATACTTTTTTTATTGTAAGTTATATATTATAAGTTTATAAGTTAGAAATGATATATATTGAACATAAATAAAAACTAAAAAGCTATAATAACCCATAACCCTGACGTTTCGTATGAACTTTAACAATGTAAATCAAAATTGATTGGGACTTACAACGATAATTTAAGTGAACTGAATAAATTTCGATATCACAGACAATTTCAAAGATCAATTTATAAATTAAAAAAATTGGTTAAATTATTGTAATTTTATTGATTATTACACAAATTTGACGTAAAACATTTTTCACATATTTAAATTATCATAAATATTATAGGTTAGATGTCTAATCCTTATTAAAATATAATAAGTATAGCGCTTATATATTTCAAAACAAATTTTTAAAGTAAATCTCCCTTTCACTTAAATGTCCAAAAGTACTATCTCTTTAGGGATATCAAATGCTCAAAGTTTGTTTTAAATTTGAACACTAACTAGGTAAATATACCCAATCACGCTACATTTGGTTTGTCAACATATCTAAAATTTTGATTTGTTACTTGTTAGTTACTATATTCTAAATTAACAAATGGTGTTCAAAATATTTTGTTAAATTGCTAAGCTATAATACATAATAATATATTCACTAAAAAAACAACTGATGTGTAATTTTGAGTGCAAGCTTAGTTTTTAAATCACAAATTCCACCTTAATATTTAGCTAGGAATGTTTACTTTTTAAAATTAAAATTTTTACAAGATTGAATGACAATACATCAATTTGTTTTAAAACTAAAACATAATTTTCAACATATGATAAAAACATTTATATTTGTTTCATTTTAACATAGCTAATTGTTAATGTTTAAAAGCACCAGTCATTAATATTGTCTAACAGATATTTTATTGATTTTGTTAAAACGTTAAAATTTAATAACAGATCAACAACAAAACATTTACAGAAATGAATATAAATCTAATTTTTTTGTTTATAAATATTTATAAAATATAATAGAATAGACTTAATTATAATGAAACATAAAATAGTCTTTAATAAATATTGCTTCAAATCTCAAATTGTACTAACCATTATTTTCACCTACTATTCTTCCAAATGTTAATATAACATACTTACCTAATAAATGTATAAATGGATATATTATATTTTAGTACCTATTAATATTGTTATGATTTATGAAAAAATGCGATGTAAAAAATACTTTTATACTATATCATTTTTCTGATAAATTATAAAAAAAAATTTTTTCGTTACAAATGATTTTTATGAAACTGCATTTTATAAGATTCAATTTTATGACACTCAACTTTCAAACACTTGACTAGGTATTAGCACCATGAGAACATTATACAACACTTGGACATCGCAAGTGTATTGAAGTACATTACATCTAGTTACGTAATACGTAATGTACATATGATGCATATTATAGTATTATATTTATGTACAAAGTATATTAGTGCCCTAGACTCAAAAAAATATATGAAATTACCTACGTAATATATTATATACTCGTATATATGTATTACTGTTCTACATTGAATTTCCATTTGTGCATGCGTGCAAGACTATCGTAACTGAATAGTTTAAAACCGTGCACAATTATAATTAAAGTATTGTGTCGAAACGTTTATACGATAGTTTATAGATGCACCTAAGTATACTCATCAATATTCATTGATGTCAACATAACAAAATTTCACATAAATCATAACACACATTACCTGTAATATTGTATAACATAACGTTCGGTATAAATGGTCATCGCGAGTATACGCTGTCCACTAATTTCACGCATCGGCCAACGTGTACGTTTCATACTCATATACAAACACGTGCACTTGCATATTGCATATTTAATACGTTCGTAATACTAACCGTGCAGGTGCGCGATAAATAGAATACTATAATAATATTTTATCCCAACAGTGTTATTAAAATAATTTTAATATTATAAGCTTTTGAAGAATTACAAAAATGTAACTTATATTTTTGAAATATCACGATGAAAAAATGCAAAAAAAAATGTAATCCGAGGAATTCCGTACATGTTTTGATGATGAAACGCTTTTTATCATTTTTTTTTTTTTTTTTTTCATCGTAAAACGCTGAATTTCGCAGCGGAATCACTTCCCGACTACACTTAACCCCGTGTTCGGGGATATGTTAATCACACATAACATAAATCGTGCACAGATTATGAGCACAGCATAGAATGCAACCGGGTATGATATTATTTGTAACGTGAAACTATTACGAACGCTCTGTATTGCAACACCGTAATAATATAACAATATCACATACAATATTGTACGAATTGTTAATACCGAATTTTACGTGCAAAGCACGGCAACGAGTCTCGTCCGTAAGTACGTATAATATACCAACAATAATGCGCTATACGTAGTTATGATGAGAAACGGTGCAGTTCTTACATAGGTATACAATGCCTACAATATTATATGTATGTATATATATATATATATATAGACGGTGGTATAAAACTTTTGGAAAACTATCGCGTGCACACAATATATACCTGTATATGGTATATGATTTTATATTGCAGTGCGGGCCGATATATTTTATGATGGGTATCGCAGCGCGAGTGAGAATAAAAATAAAACCCACCGTTGCGTGGGGTGCCGGCGAGAGGAGGAGGTCTGTGATAAGCTTTTCGACGGGATTAATTGGCGTGACTTAATTAAGTGGCCGTCTTTTACAGTCTTCAGGTGCGGGTGAGCAGTATGGAAATAGTGCACTCCAAAAGCAAAGGCTTCTGAGCAGCTCACCCGTTCTGATACCGATCATTAGGTATAAGGTCG